CAAAACAAACTTTCTTGTCTTCTTGGGCCATCTCTTCAACTGGGGTCATCTCCAAGTCAGTCTCACACTTGTACAAAGACCCATGCCGTCCTCCCTGTCTAAAATAACCTTCCCCTTCTCCATCTGCTCCAACTTCACATCCTTCCCAAGCCCTTACCTTCCCAACTCCTCCAGCTTACTCCCAGAGCCCCTCCTTGGAACTCCTGTAACTGTGACAGCCCATGCCACCCCCTCTGTCACTTAAGCCCCACCTTGCACTGCTTCCTGGGTTTTATGTCTCATTGCAACTACTAGACTATGGGGTCCTTCAAAGGAAATATTTCTTTATATTTCTCTCATCTCCTCCGAAGCACCAGCATAGAACCCATAAGTGAACGTTGGTTACTGGTTGCTTGTTTGAATCCTTCACTGGCAGCTGTGACTTAATAGCGCACCTAAAACTGGTGATTTCCCAGACTTTCTTATTTACAACCCAGGCAACTAATTGGTACTTCACAACTTGTATCCAAATGAAACCATCTCAAAAGCCAATTTTAACTTCAAAACATAGACATTATATACCACTTTTAGAAAGTCGATAGTAGCGTTGTCAATAGGGGAAACAAACAAGCTAAAAACACTGGATCCAAATCTACATCATTTTGATTTTGGTTCTGTTTCCAAACTAGAAAAATTTTAAATTGATATTATACTCATTAGAGGATCTTTAGATTTACTTCATCACACACGGGGTGATATTCAAACCACCTAGCTCGTTGAGCTCAGTCCTAGTCAATTACAAACAGTGCATTTTCTAGGAGAACATCTGGAAAACCAAAAGGCGGCGTATTATCATGTTTAATGTTTTCAAAAAATGAGATGCATTTTGTTAGGACTTTGGAGGGGAGGGGAGAGCAGAACCACTCTCCCTCCTTCTATCAAGTGGAACAAGGGAACCACGATGCTCAGCCTAAACTAAAGCTAAATAGAATGAGAAAGATTCCCGTAGACGCTGAAGAAATATTTTTAAAGAAACAAACTCTTACCTGTCGAAGAAGACGCCAAGATGACTGACTCCGGAAATCAAATTTACTGGGCACAGGTCTGTCAAAACAAAAGCAAGCGAAGCCTCATCAGCCTGATGATTTACTTCGAGGACTGGTGTTTCTCTCCTCCCCAAGATTACGACTGCTTCATGTTGGAAGAACTTAAAACATGAAGTTGGGCTGATAGAGAATCCAACCTGAGCTGGTCGGGCTCAGCGCGCAGAGGTGACTGAGGGAGCAGGGACAATCTGAATGTGACAAAAGCGATTAGCAAGTTCCTGTGCTCAAGTCAATTTCCTGTGGCCCGCTTCTCCGCAGAGGGGGTTTCGTTTGTGTGGGTTTGGGGGTGTACACGTGCACTTTTCTCCATGAGACGGTGAAACCTCCCAGCCAAGAGGCAGAGGGAGGCCCCTACTGCACAGCTGGGTCTGTGTTTCATTGATCCCTCCCTGGACCACTTCTCCCCCCATGCCTCTATTTTCCTTCAAAGAATCAATCACCACATGCAACTGGAGAAAGGAGGCGTGAGAAACCAAGATGATTCCTTAAGGAAGTGAAATAAAGTGCACACACACACACACACACACAAATCCCTCACATGGACTGGTCTTGGTTAATTTAAACTTAGGGAAAAACACCTTAGAGCTTACACACGGTCAGCTTGATAGTATGAAGACAGGAGGTGAGCTATCTGCTTTGCTTTAGTAACTACCAAATAATAATTTGGAAAGAACAGACACAGCCATAGCAAAAGCTCCTGTGGCCCCATGCAGTGGCCCTGCTTGGGTGGCCCTGCACCTGTGAAGGGAGGTACTGGACTCTGAGTTGTTTTCAGAATCCTCCGAGTTTCGTTATTTGCCTAAAAACATATGTTTGCTTTTCTTGTCTCTCTCTGCAATCCAGGTGTGGAGGCCATCTGTAATTATTCCGATTATGGCTGAATTACCTAAACCAACTTTTTAACTTGCATGATGTGGTCACAACCCAAAACATACCCCAAATCCCCAAATAACTGTCAATCTTATTGCTGAGGGCGATACCTTGGTTGAAAACTACCTGCCATAAGAATAAAGTCCATTCAAGAATGCAAGGATTTATGCAGTCCCTGTGTCTGTCACGAGACAGTATATAGTGACAGGAAGGGCCTAGGGACACAGGCAGATTCAGAACCCTGTAACGGGCCTGATACCATGTACAGAAAAAAGACCAGGACAGATAAACTTCCGGCCTCCCAGCACCTAAATCCTGGGGAAGAATGGGGGACACAAACAAATAGTCAAACACAGGTAACAAAAACAAATTATGGTGACCATTACAAAGGAATCAGAAAACGTGCTGCACAGATGGCAAGAACATAATAACTATATTCTAGAGGTGGTCAAAGATGGAGTCTTTGAGCAGCTGACATTTAAGCTGAGACTCAAAATTGTGTTTCTCACCCTGGCTGAAAATTAGAATCGTCTGAGAAGATTTTCAGAAAATATCAATGCCTGGGCCCCACCCACAAAGACTGTAATTGAATTGAGCTGCCAAAGGACATGGACAGCAATTTTGTTTTAAACTCCCCAGTTATTCTGATTAGAGCACAGGCCACTGTGCTCTAATGAATGAGAAGCAGATAGCTTGGGAGAGGAGAAGAACAATTTAAGCAGAGATAAATGGTACGTGCAGAGGCCCTGAAGTAGGAAAGAGCTTGGCATGTTCGAGGACGTGAAAGAAGAATAATGTGCCTGGGGTAGAGATGAAGGAAATAATTGGTTCAAAGATGAACTTTCTTGTAGATGGACACACAGTTATCAAACTCACAAGAGCCTCTTACAGGAACTCAAGTATCAGCTTATTAAAATGCAGCAGGAACTCAAACTGCCATCTAAGACCTGGGAGCCTTCTGATGGGCACATTATCTCCTTCCAGAACACTCTCAGTGGACTGTCAGATTACCATTGTGATGTTAGTACAGGAGCAGAGCATACGACTTGTTGGACATTTTCTTTGCCTCTGGCTTTATCAGAGGATTTAGGGCAGATGATAAAGATACAGCACCTTAGTCAGTACAGCAAGTTAAAAACAAAAAAGAATCTAAAAACAAAGCCAGAGAAATGAAGACAAAAATCAAGCTAAAACGAGAGGTGAGGCTAATACAGAAAATGTCTGCTATGTAGTTCTAAGCTTTTCGGAAACCAAGCAGGAAACAAACCGCATAGAAAATTCAGTGCTCACTGGACAGAAACAAACTTGTCACCAGGGTACTAGAGTCTTCCTAGCTCTCCAGTGCTGACACGAAAGAGAAGCATTGCCACTGCGGTCCCATGGAGAGGACACCATGGCCCGAGCCTTGGACTAACCATGGTCAGCAACAAGATTTGTGAAGTGGTTCCTTATATTTTTTTTTCCTCAATGTTAAACTGATTTCCTCTCACCAAAAAGCTTACTGAAAGCAAATCTAGAAAGGGCCTAGGGCAAAGTGTGGCGGGGTGTTAATATAGTGTGTGCCGCACCACAATGGGGCTCCTTCATTCCAGTTCAACCCAGAGATGACGGTTGACTTCAGATGTGTGTCAGAAAATTCAGCATAAAATGTTTCTCACTCAAGCTTCTAAAAGACCCCAAAGTAGGTCATAGCAGAGCAAAGTGGCCCACGCGAATAATCCCAGCAATTTGGGGGTCTGAGGCAGGAGGATCATAAGTTTGAGGCCAGCCTGAGCAATTTAGCAAGACCCTGTCTCAAAATTTTACAAAATTTAAAAATTTAAAAAAAAAATAATAATTTTAAAAGGCTGAGGATGTAGCTCAGTGGTGGAGCACTCCTGGGTCCAATCGCCAACAAGGGGGTGGGGGGATGTCATACTTCTAGCAAGAGATCCAGTGTTTTGTTTTGTTTTTTTCTTTTTTTTTCTTTTCAGGGTCCCAGGTGGATACTGCCTTCCTTTGGAAAAGCAGAGGCATTGAACCAGGGCAGCTGCCTACATGGACTCCGCCCCTGCACATTTTCTGCACAAAAAGGTGGACATACTCTGGGGTCAGGATGGATTGGTGTGTCTACAGGCCCGGGTACTCCCACCCCATCCTGGAAGGACATTGCCACCTTCACTGCAAGACTCCTCTCCCTGCCCCGCTCCCTGGCTGACCACCCTCCTCGGCTGAAGGACCCGCTCTTGCTCTGGGTGTGGAAGTGTGGGTTTCCGATGGTCTCAGACGGCCAGGCTTCGTGCTTCCTCCTGCTCCTGGCTGTGAGAAAGTTTTCCCAGCCGTCTCTCACGTTCTTCTAATCTTCACGTATAGTTGAATCTCAGAGGGGGCTTCTTAGGAGGAGGGGAAGAAACAACTACGCCTCTCCCTTTCCTGAAAATGCCTTTTTTTCCTAGTGTGCTTGTGTGCTCTCACTCTTTCTCCTTTTTTCCCCTCCTTTCCTCTCTCACATTTTTTTTTCTTTATAAATTGAACTCAAGGCCTTGCACAGCTAGGCAAGTGCTCTGTCACTGGGAGCCCCCTCTCAGTCTCTTAACAGGGTTTAAAAGGGGTAGCGACAGAGGAAAGAAGCAAAGGACTTAAAATACATTCACGCACTAACACAACTTCTCAGTGTGTCCCTTCTGATACTCTGTAGTCCAGCCTTGGGACAGAGATGGGGGGAATCTCAGGACTTCAGAGTGGCAGAGAGGAAGGAATTTATGGGTATAACATATGTAGTGGGAATCAGACCCTCCTTAAGAACCATAATCCACCCATCAATCAGCCCTGCAAAGTGCCCTCAGAGGCCCTGGAGGCTGGAGGCCCAGCTTTTCCCATTCAGGTAGCCCAGGCATGAATATTCCCTGAAAAACCACTTACTGATGAACAGACTGATTCTCCCATCTGATCCTCCCAACCGTCATTTTAAAACCTATTTTAACCGCTGAGGAAAAAGAGAGAACTCAGCTGGGTAAATGATTTGCATGAAATTGTAAGACCTGTGAAAAACAGAAGCAAGGTTCCCCCCTCCATCTGTCCTGACTTTTCACCCCACTGCCTCCAGGGGAAGGGAACAGGGCCACTGTGGGGAAGCACAGGCGGTCAGAGGCCCCAGGCCAATGGTGTGTCTTTTCTGAAGAGCCCTTCTCTGAGATTCCCACAAACGCAATCAACAGGACAAGGTTAAAAGGCAAAGGCTTTCTCAAAACACATTCTTTTGAAATGCTAAATGATATGGCCAAAGAAGAGCTCAATTTTCCTCTCAGGACCTCTATTATGGAAGATTTTTAAACAATCTGCTGACTTATGAACCCTGAACTCATGCAGAAGTGGTGAGTTGGAAAGGTTCTCTGCCACTTAGGCCAGAGAGAACTCTTAATGACAATTGTAAATTTGTAATGAAGGATTAATCTTTGTAATCCCGAGACAAGACTTGTTCACTACATTGTTTCTACCCTGGGTTTGTACAATACTTTTCCTCTTCTTCTCACTTTTATCATATTAACCAAAATGATTTAGATTTAGGGTAGCTTTGAATGTTTACAGAGGCCTTCATTTGTAATATGCCACCTAATAAAACATTTTCAGTGGTTTCAGAAGATGGGAAATATGTACTAAAATCTGTTCTGAATGCTTTGAGGTTCATACTCAGATCATTAAAACATATTGCAATTATTCTTACCCAGCTCCCCTCTAAATGATAAAAGACTATTAAAACACCAATGCCTTCTGATTGAGAGATTTCATGATGGGGATTATAAAATGTTAACTCTTCTTAAGAGAAATATCTTAATTCTGATGTGTCACTTTCAGTGTAAAGTGACATTCATACAAAGTTCACTTTAAAATTCTAAATATTGAAATATCTTAGAAAGGCCACAGACTAAACATATCATGACTGACTTCCTCCTTGTGCCTCTAATTCATTATAAACAACAGGCTCCCTAACCAGATAACAATATCATTTCAAACATCTCCTAGTTTCCCTCTTAGAGCCAGAACCATAAAAACATCATTCACTCCACCCCACCCCACCCCACCCCACCTGCCGCTTTTCTCATTGTCTATTTAGTTTTTAGTGTAGCTCGGCATATTACTTTTTGTTCCTGTGAATATTAAGTTCTCAGGATGCTGAGGTGCCATTGTCATCCTGGTTTCTTTGCCTTGTAGAACCATGTTTACTGAGCAAACCTTCACATCCTGGTTCTTTTTATTGCAGAACTACAATTCATAACAATGCAGACAGAGTCTTATTGCAGAAGGTGATAGCACCCGAAGTCATAATTCAAGACTGGACTCTATAGTTAGGGTTCAACATCTTCTTAAAGACCTCAGACAGAGCTGATGTAGTCAAGTGACCATTACCCTTCAAAGCAGACCCTTGGCGGCTGATGTGCTTTTCCAACATTGCAGACATTCGTTAAAGCACTTTTAGAAGCTCTTGACAAAGTCCTTCAGAGACCGTTTAATAAACTACAAGACAAAATCAGTATCACTGCACCCTATTCCCGGCTTACTTATGACTCAAAATATTATCCAGCTTGTTCACCCACCTTATTCACGGGATGTAGCTCCAAAGGGCTGTCTCCTAAATCAAATGCACTCTACAAAGACATAGATTGGCCAGCATTGATTTTTTTTTTCTTTTTTCTTTTAAGAAGGTGAGGCAGCCTCTGAGAACAAAAGCAGAAGAGTTTGAATTGGGTCAAGTGCACTAGCTCCTGGGTCACTACTGTGAAGCACTCAACTTTCACACCGATGCTGACAGTCTGGTTTGTTTAAAAAAGAAGAGAATGAGGAAAGCCATCGCAGCTTCTTCTCACAGTTACGGTTTGCTCGTTGTCTTGATATGGATCTTCAGTCTGGGTACAGACATCACAGGGTAACTGCAACCCAGCACATCTGCTCAGAGCAGGCGTTGCAAACATTTCAGTTTTAAGGCCCATGGGCGCTAACTTGACATCTTTTCAAATTAACAGGTCTCTTGCACAGTTCTGGAGGGAGCAGGTTGAAGCTTACATACAAACGCAAGCTGAACCCTTGGAGAAAGTAGAAGTCTGGATTCAGACAAAGCAAGATTCAAATCCCTGCTCTACTTATTCCTAAGAATGAGGCCCTGCTCAAGCGGTAGCGCGCTCGCCTGGCATGCTTGCGGCCCGGGTTCCATCCTCAGCACCACATACAAACAAAGATGCTGTGTCCGCCGAGAAAAAAAAAAAAACTAAAAATAAATATTAAAACACACTCTCTCTTAAAAAAAAAAAAAAAAAAGAATGAGGCCCTGATCTTCCTATCTGCAAAATAGGTATAATAATATCTATCTTGGAAGAGTTTTATGAGGAAAAAAAGAAAAGAACAAAAGGCTCTATAGTTACCTCAGATGTAGTAGACATTTCATGTATTATTGTCACTGATGTTTTAGCTTTTGACTTCTGGAATTTTTCTCCTCTATCTCTTTCCCTTCTTTAAATAACAACAGTTGAACTGGAAGATTTGAGAAGCTTTTTCCAGTTTCTAAATTCTGGGGAAACAAAGTTTAAACACCATGCACTGGATTCTAATGTTATATGCTGTCTCAATGGGTTAAAAGGATCCAGAATTTTTTAAGTCAAATTGTTTTGTTTTGTTTTTTTAAACATTTCTCTCCCATCTTATAAATGCTTTATTTATTTTCTTCTTTTCCTTTACCGTGTATATGTTTTATAATTTGATGACATTGTACTTATCAATTCTTGGTTTTATTTCTTAAGCTTTAGGAGTCTTATTAAGGAAGTTGATGTCATTGCTGATATGTTGAAGTCTTTTTTTTTTAAGAGAGAGAGAGAGAGAGAATTTCTTCAATATTTATTTTTTAGTTTTCGGCGGACACAACATCTTTGTATGTGGTGCTAAGGATCGAACCCAGGCTGCACGCATGCCAGGCGAGCGCGCTACCGCTTGAGCCACCTCCCCAGCCCTTAAGTCAAATTGTTAATGACACTATTTCTTATGCATAATCTGAGCACCACATAAACTTCAGAAATGCCTCCTGAGCTCATCTACTACCACACTATAAATACCTTAAGATAACTGAGAATTTATCCTTTCTTTTCATTTTGCAAATATTAAACAGTTACAATACTATTTACTAAGCATTGTGGTAGGTACTAAAAGATAGCAGGCAAAACAAGAACAAGAAGAGTCTACTTTTATTAGTTTGCACTTACCAGGAAGATAAGAAACATGCGCAATTTAGTAATGCATTGTGTTCCAATGTGCTCAAGGAAAATAAAGCAGAGAAGGGAGATAGGAAGCTTGAAGATGTACATGTTTAAATAGGGTGGTCATGCTGGGCATGCTGGTGCACACCTGTAATCCCAGCAGTTCTGGAGGCCAAGGCAGGAGGATCGGGAGTTCAAAGCCAGCCTCAGCAAATTAATGAGGTCTTAAGCAACTCAGCAAGACCCTGTCTCTAAATAAAATATTAAAAAGGGATGAGGGTGTGGCTCAGTGGTTAAGCACCCCTGAGTTCAATCTTCAGTACCAAAATAAAAATAATTTTTAAATAATAAACAAGGTCTTGGTGGAAAAAAGAGGTAAGGTCTTTTTAAATCATCCAATGATCATCTTAAAGGTTAATGGTTCTTACCATTGGCATGAATCCCTAGGTTTCATGATCATGTTCATCACCATGATCCGCCTTCCCTTGGGTCATGGGAGCCCTGCCTCCTCTCTGGATGTACCTAGAAGGGAGAGATGCGGACCACACAGCTCTGTATGGTAGCTCTTCCCCAATGGGCAGGGGACCAAGTTCATGCTCACCTCTCAACCCCATACCTCCACTGAACTGCTTACCCCTTCACTTTTCTGGTCCTTTGGGTCTCTCCTCCAAATCCCTGTACCTGTTTTCATATTGGATTGCTAACTGACACCTAGAGAAAAATACGGCCAGAGCTCAGGGACTGAGTGGAAAATTCCCCCTAGTTCCACAGTGCTACTTTCTTCCTCAGTTTGCTGGTCTCTGCTCTGTTCATCTTTTTAACCAAATTCTAAGAATAACTTAATAATAATGGTCAGACTGGTTTACCATTTATTGTATACCTAACATGTGCCAGTTAAGCAGTGTCTAGGCATTTCCTCACTTAATGATCCCCCAAATTATGAGGAAGGTACCAGATCAGACTTATCTCTCTTTGCAAAGAAGGAAATTGAGGCGCAGATAGCTTAAATATTATGCTTAGGGCTACAAACACAACAAATGGCACAGCCTGATTCCATAGCACCTCTTTATGCTTTTTTCTAGCCAGTTGAATTTAACTAGTATTTTTGGTACCCTTGAATATAGGATAGATCTAAACCATTTAAATATTATTTGCAAGTACTCTCACACAGGTGGGTAGTCAACCTCTCAAGTTGTTTTCCTCCATCCTGATTCCAAATGGCTTATTTGGTGAAGATCTATTTTAAACTTCAAAAATTACCACTATTGGGGCTGGGGTTGTAGCTCAATGGTAGAGAGTTTGTTTAGCATGTGTGAGGCACTGGGTTCAATCCTAAGCACCACATAAAAAATAAATAAATAAAGTTATTGTGTCCATCTACAACTAAAAATTATTTTTTTAAAAAATTATCATTTTTCTCATCAAGAAAAGAGAAGCATTTTCCTTTGCTCTCTCTCTCTGTTCCTTGCACTTTTAAAGAATAGTTCTTTGCCTCTTTTCATATTGTTTATTTTCCTAAGAAGCCTCTCGTTCCCTGCTTTGGTATCTAGGGCACAACTTTCAGTCACATTCATTTTTAGACACCGTATTTTATTAATTATTACCATGATATAAATAAACATGTACTACTAAACAGTTCTGCTGGCAATGAGAAGGACTTGTGAAAATAAATTTTATTTGCTCTCCTGAAAAAGCTCTGGAACTGCTATAGACACGCATTGATTCATGGGTTAGGTGTGTCACTCTCGTCTGAAAGCCACACAATTCTAGATAGAATTACTATGGATTGTCAGTTCATGATTTGAACAGGAAGGGCTCTTAAGTGAATAAAATGCATCTTATGGAAACATAAAACCAGCACAAGGAAATCAGGGTACATTCTGAGTTGAAAATAGAAAGACCAATGGTTTTAATTACATGTAGCTCTTTAAAAAAAATTTTTTTTTTACCCAAATGCCCAGAATATTTATAGATTTTTGGCTTTGAATGGATGCAGATTTTGCTTGTTTTAAAAATTCCTTTTATAGTGTTAAAAATGGTTGAAAAGGGCTGGGGTTGTAGTTCAGTGGGAGTGTATTTACGTAGCATGTGCAAGGCCCTGGGTTTAGTCACTAGTCCCCCCCAAAATTTAAAAAGCAAAAAGTAAACATTTTAAAACACTGCATCAAATCAAATAAAAAACAGCAACAACAACAAATTGTTTACCAGATCGGGTGTGGTGGCACACACCTGTAATCCTAGAGGCTTGCGGAGGCAGAAGAATTGCGAGTTCAAAGCCAGCCTCAGTGAAAGCAAAGTGCTAAGCAACTCAGTGAGACCCTGTCTCTAACTAGAATACAAAATAGGGCTGGGATGTGGCTCAGTGGTTGAGTGCCACTGAGTTCAATCCCCAAACCCACCTCCCCAAAAAAAAAAAATGGTTTACCAAAAAGTAGCAAGCTTTCTTCACTTCAAGAGGTAATTTATATCTTACCTTTTGGTAAATCTGCAACAATTTGGCTAGAGCTTTGGGAAGTATTCCCCCTTCTTTTTTATAAATTAACTTTTTGTCTTGGAAATATTCCCTTATTCAATATAAGTGAAAAATGTCAGATCATCTAAGTAAAAATATGAATTCCATTCACTTTATCACTGAAGCAAATTTCATGGAAACTATCAGTTTGAAATACCTGTTTGAAAGTTTGTGTTTATTTGTAAATTCTAATTAAGCCCATAGATAGAATAAGTAAATAGATAATAAAAAATATCATGTCATCCAGCTGAGACCTGGTGCCATTTGGCATTGCATATCAGAAACAGTTATGGACTCAATGGAAAAGATATAGGTGTGGGCAGTAGAGGCCACCACTGTTCTCTAAGAGGCCCAACTCTCTACTGCTGGTGGCTCAGTCCTAAGAAGCAGACATATTGGCTCTCACTATAAATCAAAGAATCCTCGATGACACAGGAGTTCGTTTACAATTTGCTATTAAGTGGGGGTAGGGAGAAGCCTGTTATAAAGCTTGAATTTGGCTGGGAATTGTGGTGCATAATAACAGCTATTACAGAGGCCGAAACAGGAGGATCAGAAGTTTTAGGCCGGCCCAGGCAGCTTTAGCAAGATCTTGTCTCAAAATAAAATAAGAAGGGCTGGGGATATAGCTCAGTGGTAGAGAACTCTTGGATTCAACCCCCAGTAGCACAAAACATATGTGCATATATAACATACATACCTAAATAAATAAATAAAAACAAAATTTGAATTTAAGTTGTTATTACATACAAGTATCCCTACGTGCCAGGTCATAAGTGATTTTTATGTTTTTCTTTCTGTTTTTCTGTATTTCCCCAATTTTTTTTTTATTATACCATCTATTATTTATCTGAACCAGATGAAAAAATTCATTGTTCTTTTTTTTTTCCTTCTAACTGCATTGAGCAAGTTTACCTAAGTTTTCTCTATAAAGCTTAGTCATTGCTTCAGTTGCAACATTTTACATAACAACCAGTGATTTATAGCACTTCTCAGAGGAGACTCACTGGACCACAGCCAAGTACAGCAAAACTATCTTCCTCATTATTCAGCCTCTACAGGGTCACATGTAGATGATCCCAACCAGGCGCAAATTCCAACCTCTGTAAAGACTCCTAAAACAGGGATTCCACAGGGTTTTGCATTAGACCACATAGAAGACCTGTCTTAACTTTCCCTTAAAATAGAAATCATAGCTGGAAAAGATATCCCGTACTAGCTGAATCTTCTCAGGGGAAGATAAAGAAGTATTCAGAAATAAGGCAGTGAGGTTTCCGTGAAATTAATTCAGTGTCTGAACTGAAAAAGAAAGAGGTAGTGGGAAATGCTTGATGCTTATTTGAAGAAAACATGTTTGCGACAAGTGCAGCCAACGATTACAAGATCTGGTTTCAAACTAAACCTGCTGTTTTCTTCTTATTGTTATTACCTAAATTATTGTGCCTGGGCATATTTTTAATCACTTAGAAGAAAAGGGTTGTGTATTCTCTTTAATGAGCACTTTCTGCTTAAATTCATTTAAAATTATACATAAAATTTCAATATTAGGGGCT